ATGGACTGGCCAGGACTCTGGGATACCAGAGAGGACCCCGTGGAGGTGTGGTGGGTCCCAAGGCCCCTGGGGACTGCCCCCAGCCTCACAGTGCTGCAGCTGAGCTGCACCAGGGGCTTTAGGTGGCCGAGTGTGGGCTGGAGCTGCGATGGGGACCTCCCAGAGTGCAGAAACCACAGCAGCTGGTGAATGTTGGGGTTTCGGGGTCTCGGGGGGGCTGCTGTGCCCAGCTGTGACTAAGGGCTGCCCAGCAGTGCCCTCTGTGCTGTTATTTGGAGAGGGAACAAATATGTTCACCCCAGTATTGCTATAGGTCTTATCTGTCAGGTCACGGGCAGCGCTTGCTGGTACGGCAAGCACCAGCCTTGGGTATCCAGGTATTCACATACAACCTAGAGCTTTTCTGTGTAAGTTGGTGAATGCAGCGGTGATTCAGGAAGCTTGAGTGTATGTGCTGTACATATAGATTGAGTTTCTAACACCTGAGGGAAGTTGTCAGCCTTTACTGTTCCTGTCTGTCACCAAAGCAGCTCTCAGTTTTTCAAGAGCCCTAGTATATTTTGCAGCTTTGCATTTGTTTTCTTTCAGAGATTGAATTCACTTCAGGAACTTCAGCTCCTTGAGATCATGTGCAATTATTTCCAAGAGCAAACCAAGGATTCAGTCCGGCAGATCATTTTCTCATCTCTCTTCAGCCCTCAAGGAAACAAAGCAGATGACAGCAGGATGGCTTTACTAGGAAAGCTGGTTTCCATGGCAGTGGCTGTGTGCAGGGTTCCTGTTCTGGAATGTGCTGCCTTCTGGCTGCAGGTACAGCTGCTGTGCAGGCAGGGCAGTCTCGGGGAAGGAGCGAGGGAGTGTGCAGTGCTGGGTATGGGTGACCTGTGACAGAGTGTCACCTAATGGTCTGTGACAGCCGGATGCAGTCAGCTGCAGTCACTTTAAGATGCTACATCAGCTGGCTGCTGCAGCTACATTCACCCTACGTCTGTGCTTGTGTCCATTCCTCTGCTCTAGCATGAAGGTAGAGCTTTTGCCAATCCGTTTGTGTGCTGCACTGGCAGAAGAAAATTTGTGGGTTTTTTTTTTTTACTGTGGGTGAAAGTTTTATTGTTGGTTTGTGGGTTTTTTTTCCACCTAACCCCAGCATGTCGAAAGGGATCAGTGGAATCTTTGACTGACACAGGGAACAGAACTAGGGCAGTTTGTGGTCACATTGCCCAAAGATGCCAGCTCTGGAGTCTGGGAAATAAACTGTCCCTCATGTGCAAGTTTGGGCATGGCAGAAGAGTTAAACCTCTCTCTTGAGATCTGGGCACAAAATACTTGTGTCTGGTATTTATATCCGTGAATGCAGCGTATCAGGGATCTTGTCTATCTCCTCCATTGAGACTCCCCGCTGAAGACCTTGGGAAGTGCATCTTTGTTCCCGCTGCCTTTGCGGGATGTGCAGAAGTCATTGGCTTTACAAAAGCGGAAGAGCAGAAAGACTGTGCTAGGAGGGAAGGGTGGCAGGAGGCAGACCGGTACATTTTCTGAGGGGTCCTTCTTTTCCCACCTGGTGAGCCTTGGTAGTGGAGGAGGAGATGTAGCCTGGATAGCAAAAGAAGGTGTTTTTTGCAGGTCGCAGCTCTGAAGGGACATGAGGATTGCACAGAATTTTTCCACATTGAAAATGTCAAGCGTAACTGAGAGTTTACTGAACTAGTTGAACTACAGAACTATCTTGCTGAAGTAGTAAAAAAACCACCTCTCTAAGTCAAAATATTGATGTAAAAGGCTTTAATTTTAAATTACAGATATTGTAAACACAAAATATCACCACCTATTTTAATATTGTGAAATAGTAATTTTATTTCTGTATGAGTCAATCTTTGATATGCATAGAGAGAGAGAGAGAAAGCACACTTTAGTTTTGGGCAAGTGGAAACACTAATGTTGAAACAGTGAAGCTGCTGGGTGAGGTGGGCAGGCAGAGTGTTTGGGCAACGTAAACTTTGAGGTCAGCTCTGTAGAATTTTCTGTGATTGGGTTTAATCCACTTTTCCTTGTGTGCCATCCCGCACCCCTGCAGCGAACCCCCGCTGTGTACTGCGTGAGGCTAGCCCGAGCCTTGGTTGATGACTACTGCAACTTGGTGCCAGGGTCCATCCAGACGCTGAAGCAGATATTCAGCGCCAGTCCTCGCTTCTGCTGCCAGTTCATTACCTCTGTCACGGCGCTCTACGACCTCTCTTCAGGTAAGTGTTTCCAAGCTGTGTCTTTGGAAGTAAGAGATGCAGGATAATGCAACGCAAGTTAACTGTTGCAAGCGAAATAACTGCTGGAATTCTAAGGTTGCTTGTTACCATGTAATTATTGCCAGAAGCAGCTCAGGGGTGTGGCTGTTGCATCATTTGTGAGAATAAAAATAGCCACTCAGTGGCTGAAGGGGGAGCCTTTGCTGGAGAAGCAGCCAGGTACTGCCTGACATGAAGGGCAGCGTCAAGCAGAGGGCAAAGGATGTGAGGACCTTATTGATTGAGCAGCTCTAGGAGTGACAGCGGACCTGCCTATCTGATCTGCCTGGGCTGGGCAGTTTGGCCTCCCTGTTGTGTGTCACCTACCCAACATGTAGGCTCTGTCAGTCCAATTCCTCCCAAAAATGGGGAACATGGAAATTCTGAACACTTGCCAGCTGGAGCAGGATTTCTGTTGAGCAGTGACAAGAAATGCAATCAACAGCATGCCTCCAGTGTGCTCCTTAACCACATGTGTGACCAGCGACCTTGTCTCAGGTGGTTGTTGCTCGGACACTACAAACATGAAGGTGTCTAAAATAAGATTTACCTTTACTCAGCCAGAGAGACAGAGAGCTCGTGGTAGACTAGGGAACAACCATACACTAAATACCAACGTCACGTATAATCCAAAAAAGCAAATGCTATTTGTTATTGATAGAGGAAATGCTTTGCATGGTCTTCTCCAGATAAGCAGCTTGACATTAGAGAAAGAGAGGTGCAGGCTTAGACTTTTTTTTTAAAAGAAAGTATTTGGTAGAGCTTGTAGCATATTCTTCCTCAGTACTCTATATCTGTTTTGTGCGACCACTTGGAAATTCATCCAACTATGTAAAAGACATGTCAGAAAGGAAATAACATGAATTATGAGAAGTAATTTTTTTTTTTAATTCCTTAGTTTGAGATGTCATTGGTGACACAAGAAAAGGAAGCTTGCTCTTCAAGGAGCGGTCTGTAACTGGGCAGTCTCCACCGCATCCTGAGGACAGGAGCCAGTCACACAAACAGCAGTATCTGTGATACTCAGAGGTCTCAGAAAAGCTAAAAACTGGAAAATACCCATTCTGTATCCAGTGCACATTAGTAATTCGGTAGTCCAGAAGATTTGTCATGTGAGTTGCGTCAGGTACAAAAGACCTGACTAGATAGTTCCACCCTGAGCCCTCTGACACTGTACGCAACTCGCAACGAAAGTACGTTGCTCAATCCAGTAGCCCGCCCCTCTCACGGGATGATGCACAATTACTGTGAAGTCGATGTTTCTCTCGTCTGTAGTCAAGCTGCAGTTCAGGACCACTTTTCGCTTCTTACTTGGAGCTTTACATAATCTTATAATCCTTTACCTGTCATGTGATCGTGTTGTTGCGTTATGTTTTTCCACAAGGCGTGCTTGTTTAGGTAAGTCTTAAAGGAAATGAGTTGAATGATTGGAGTGAAGAGAAAGAAGTGCCAACAAGTTTTTCCTATTCCCTTGCCCATTGTGCTTCCTGTGGCAAGGGATAAATAGAGACTGAGTTTAGAGAAAAAGTGAGCAGGTGATGAGTGGGAGAGAAGAAAACGACAAAAGAAGCTTTGCTGGGAAACGGGATAAATGTTGGCCTTTGGTGGTGTCTTCAGAATAGGTAGAGGAGGTGAAGTTGACAGGAACGTGGTTGTGTCTTCCCTGGGACAAACAAGTGTCTGCCTTTGGTGTCTTGGAAAAAAACCAGCAGAGTTGGGGAGGTTCTGAAATTGTAATTGTGACAGTGCAGGAAGGGTGTGCGTGAGAGATTAATTAAAGACTGCTGTCCTGTGCTTCAGTGCAAGGCTCGGCTTACCAAACGATATCTTTCCTATCTTCAGATGACCTCATCCCTCCTTCAGATCTGCTTGAGTTGATTGTTTCCTGGATCTTTGAAGACCCTCGCTTGATCCTCATCACCTTTCTAAACACACCTATTGCAGCCAACCTGCCAATAGGGTTTTTAGAGCTCACCCCGCTGACCGGACTGATCCGTTGGTGCGTGAAGGCCCCCTTGGCTTATAAAAGGAAGAAGAAAGCCTCTCTCTCAAATGGACATCCTCCCAGCAAAATTGCCAAGGACTCGGCTTCAGGAGAAGACAGAGATTGCCATCAGCTGTATTCAAAACTGCATCTAAGTGTCCTGCAGGTTCTCATGATGCTTCAGGGGCATTTAACGGAGAAGAATCTTTATGGGCGCCTGGGGCTGGTACCCTTTGACCACGTGGTTCCACTCGTTGAGGAAATTAACAGACTATCTGACGAACTCAATCCTCTCAACGCATCCAAAGAGATTGAACTGGCTCTAGACAGGCTGGCTCAGGCTTTGCAAGTGGCCATGGCATCAGGAGCGCTCCTGTGCACTAGAGGTAAGTTGCCAGTGGGACTGGCAGAGACCCTGGTACGGGATTCTTTTCCTCTAGCGTGTGGATGTTGTAAGAGGGAGTTTTGGGATGGGGAGAGTAAAGATGAAGGTGTTCACAGCAGACGTAGTAGTTTGCTGCTCTTAGGAAGCAATGGTGCAGGAAATAGTTCAGGAAGAATAACTGGATGGAGAGTAAGAAAGGAGAGATCGCTGATGCAGTTGACTGGTGCGTTGCTTTGCAGAGCTGAAGAGTTGAGCATCTACCTTGCAGCGTGCACAAGGGGGTTATATCTGGGTGTCCAGCACGGGGACAAATTTGACCCCCTCAAAATTGCTTGTAGCTATTTAAAAAGCACTGTTTGATTGTGCTTCAATTTGACTTCTCTGAGTTTGCCTGCTGGAGGAGAGACGGTGAAGCAGATGAACCATGGGGTGGGTGTGCTGGACAAGGAGTTTGAACAGCAAACAAAAACTGTTCATCTGGACCTTCTGGGCCTTCAGTGCGTATGATTTCAGTTAAACTTAGCAAAGAAGCCTGCTAATGTGGCTTTTGTCTGTCTGTCCTGATGCCAAAACCAGTTCTTTCCAAAGACCTGCAGAGATGAAAATGGGAAGTCCCACAGCACAGGATCAGCCAGACATACTGTTTTCTTGGTACATTCTCTTGAAAACAAGCAATTTTTAGTGAGACCAGAGGGCTTAAATCTCCCCAACGGCTGAGGCAGTTAGCGCAGACCCTGGCTGTGGAGAGCAGCCTCTGCTGAAGCAGGTGCCTGAGGCTTTTGCTCTGACTGAACCAGTGCTGCTGGTCAAATCTCAACGTTCTTCTCTCTAATCTTTCATAAAATGGCTCTGAGTGTAATAAGAACAGGCAGAAAAGGGGAGTTTTTTGAGTTGATGGCTGATTTTGGCTGTGTTTTTTCTTAGCTGTTCACCTGGTGCATTCTGAGCGCTTGCTCTTACTGTAGAAGTGGAAGGTAGTTTGGTATAAGTAGCTGCTGAAATACCAGTTCTTTCAGTGTTTTGGGGGTGCGTTTATCTACAGAGGCAGGAGTTTGTTCTCAAGCTGTTCCTGAAAGGACTCCAGCAACAGGATATTTTCTTAAATACCTTGGTTGTAGCTATTCTGTTTTAGCAGAAGTTTGGAGATGGTAAAAAAGGGTGCAATTTCTCATTGACAGACCTCGGCAAGGAAAAAACCCAATCCTTTCTTTACACTAGCACTGTTTAAAAAACCCCAAACCAACACAAAACAGGTATTAGGTAAGCTTTGCCTTGCTTTGGCCTGATGCCTTTCTCATCGTAAATGCCATGTCCCATGGGCAGAGTCATACCTTGTATTTCATATGTCTTAGTTACTTCTTGATAGTATATTGATATTGCAAATCCTATACTAAGGCTTGGTCTGCACTGAAATGAAGCTGCGTGTCCCATATGGCAGCGTAGGTTAAATGTTGAATGTACATTAAAGTGTTCGGTGCAGAAAGCTGGTGAGATGGAGAAACATTTTCTCTCCTATGGAATTTTTTGGCCTGAGAATGGGATTCTGGATCTGTTGATCAGTGGAGCTTTTTCAGTAATCTGACCTTCCTAGGCAGGAGAGTGCAAAGGAAAATTGCTCTAATTTCTGCTGTACCCTTATTGTTATGTCTTCTGTCCTCTTTCAGATGACTTGAGAACTGTGTGTTCCAGGCTACCGCATAACAAGTAAGAGACCTTCCTGCAGCTGTGTCGGTTCTGATGTGTATTCCGAGACATACGCTTGAGGGCTGTTGAGACAAAATCTCTAAAAATTTGTGTTTACTTTCTGGAAGTTGGTCTTTATTCGCACATAGTTGAGCATGAGGGTAAAGGTGATAGTGCTGGCTACTTCTTCCCTTGCAAGCTGGACTCCTGACTGAAGGAGACTTCAGTGACTCCCACCATATTGATGGTCTTGCCCAGCATAGAAAAGGCAAAATGAAATTACAGTGTGGGACCTGCCCCAGAGTTGTCTCATCCCCAACTCCCCGCTTGTGTTACCTGTCCCTAAGCTGAACTGCACTTTGCTTCTTGCCTCTTTGCAAAGAGCAACCAAGTTAAAAAACAAACAAAACAAAAAAAAAAGAAGGAAGGAAGGAAGAAGAGTCTGCTGGGAGTTGTACAGAGCGTAGTTGAGGCACTGTCCTCTTGCCTGTCAGCAGTGCTGTGTGTTGGTTATGAATTGTCCTTAGAGCCAGGCCCTTGTGGGCTGGGGAGAGCCACGACGAAAGCCTTCTCTAAATAATCCTCATGCCTGTCTGAATTTCTCTCCACAGCCTGCTGCAGCTGGTGATTTCAGGTCCAGTCCAGCAACCGACCCACGGCGCTCTGCCACCAGGATTTTATCCTCATATCCATACTCCTCCTCTGGGCTACCCCGCTCACCCGGCTCACCCTGCGCTACCCGCTCACCCGGCTCACCCGGCGCTCCCGGCTCACCCCGTACAAACGTTTATACCAGGAATGACATTCCCATACCGACCTATCCGCTAAAACACTAAGACTGTAGAGTGTACCCAGTTTCCCTTAGTTTGAGGAAGCCTTGCAGATGAAACCAAATGTCTTGGGAACCACATTTTCCTCTTTGGTGTAGAGCTGAGCAATGCCTGCGTCAGGGATCAGCCCTCCGGCAGTAGAGAAGACGCAGATGGGTAGGCTGCAGTCGATTTGGATGTGGGATGCAGATACTAAGGCAGATCGTAGGGGGTGGAAAAAGTCAACAGAAACTTCAAACTGCCACGTGTGGAAATTTTTGATCCACGTTGTTTCATATAATCACCATGGGTATGATATTTCTCAATCATGTGGTTTTTTCAGTAGCCCTGATGTGTTCACGGCACGGTGAGCCCCCGGCTAGTCCTTCTCTCGAAGGGCCAGAAAGAGAGAGAAGAGAGTGAGATTTTTTTCCAAGCTCATCCACTCCAGCCTGCTCGTTTCTTTGTAAATGTTTGTATCTATAGCTACAGAGTATGTGTACACTGTATATTTTTGGAACACAAATGTTTGTTTCAGAAGCACAAGGTAGAGTAAAGCAGCACTTCCTATTAAAGGAAACAATTTAAGAAGTGTAAAATAATTCTTTATCTTTCAAAGAGTGATTAGAAGGTCCAACTAGGGAGGGAACAAAACCCTTCGTGGCTGCAGTGACCAATCATCCTCCAGGCTCGGGAAACGCCCTCTTTATGCGCCTCAGTCAGCGATTGATGAAACTTTGGGGTGAGATCTGGCGCGTGTAATTAACGCTGGCTGGAAAACCGGCCAAAGGCTGGCTGCGGCGTGCTGGCCAGGTCCGCGCGAGGCGCAGGCGGGTGCAGCAGCGTCCTGGGAAGGGCGGTGGAACTCGA